CCCCCACGCCGCGCGCAGCGCCGGCGTGCCGGCCGCCCCCACCTGCATAGAGAAGTAGATTGTCGGCCGCCCCACCCACGCGCGCTGCGCCACGGTGTTTGCCAGCGCGATGCGCAGCGCGTCCGCGATCGGCGTCAGCATGATGTCATTGTAAGAGAACGCGTTGGCCCCGTCACCATACTTCACGTCCGGCCGGAAGTCCAGGGAGTTGCGCCACGCCCGGTCCGGGGACGAGTCGTCCTGGGGGAGAAAAAAAGGCGGCAAGCGCGCGCGGCCGGCGGGGGCCGCACAGCGGGGTCGGCGGGCGGCCGTGTCAGGGAGGAACGGGCGCAGGGCGCGGGTGGAAGCGCGCATCACGGCCTGACTTGTTGCACTGAATCGCCCTGCGGCCGCAGGTTTTAGCCCGCGCTCCCACAGGTAGCCAACCCGGGCCAGAACCGCCCGCCCTGGTTTTCCCCGCCTGGAGAGGATCGTTGGTGGCTGTCGGCCCTCACCAGGTGCGCCCTGATGTTGATTGTGATCCCCATCGTAAGCGCGGCCTCGAAGCATGTCGCCATGCTCTGCCGGAACTCGTCGATGAGCGCCGCCGTCCAGGGCACACACGTGTTGACGCCGGCGGAGCCAGTCATCAGGCAGTAGCTGCCGACCCCGTTGCTTGCGCCGCGGCCAAAGGGCGGCTGCACCCAATGGTGTGTCGGGACATAGTTCAACTGGGGTGTTTGAGGGCGTGCGAGCGTTTTGGTGAGGTGCGGTGTGGTGCAGGGTTGCCAAGTTAGGGCCCGCTCGGGCGCGGGTGCGCGCGGTTGTTGGGCCCAAAAGGGTGCCGTGGGGACGCAGGGTCCTATCAGGGTGCCGCCGACAGCGGGCGGCGCCAGCGTCGCGCGTGCTGATGGAGACGAGGAGAGCCTCCTGCTTTCATTCTTGGCGCACCTGACTGCTGAGCGTCCGCTGTGCCGCGCGCCACGTCTGATCGAGGCACCGACTCCAAGGCGCCGGCGTGGTTTTGTCTGCTCCCCGGCCGGGCGCAGGGAGCAGAAGGGCGAGGGCATCGGTCAAAAAGGGCAGGCGTGGCACCAAGTCCCCTGACAAGATGTGTCATGCGCCAGGGGGTCGATGCGGCCACAGGAGCGGCTTGTTCCGCCGGCCTTCCGGCCCCAGGACCCCACCCGCAGTCAGCAGCCACGCAGGCCACCGGGCACTCACCCAACTCCCAGTCAAATTTTCCCAGGAGCATGACTGACGCGCCAATCTCTGGCTTCAGGCCGTCGGCCAGTAAGTCCTTCCCGAGGTTCTTCGGGAACAGCTGCTGCTGCTGGCGGCCCTGCGGCAGCGCCAAGGCGGCGCCGCACCACGCGACCACTACCAACAGCAACGCTGCCGCCCCGGTGCCCGTGGGAAGGGTGCCGCCGCCCAAGCAGCGGCACCCGTTCCCGCGCTTCATGTCCTATTTGCGTGCCAGGCCGCGAGCTGCGTGTAACCCAGCAACAGGGGGACCGCGGCCGAGTGACGGGGAGCGCCTGGAGCCGAGATGGGCGGAGCTATGATGTGTGGTATCCAAAACCTCTAAGAAGATGAAGGGATTCGTCCCTGGCAAATATCACTACCGCGAAGGCTGGCAAACCGTGGGGAGCGCCCCGATCAGCAAGCCCGGTAAGCGAATGCCTAGCCAATATATAATGTAGAAAGCACCGCTCAGCAACAAACAGTGTCACCTTGGGCGACTGTAGCCTGTTTTCCCGTTCTTCGCCCCACGGGCGTTCGCGCGAGCTAGCCGCAGTGACACCAGCGAAGAGGCCCAGACTCCTGGCTGAGGACTAGCGATCGCGCCAATACCAATGATGTTTTAGCACCCTGCTTGCCCGTCGCATACCCGTTGAGCGCAGCACTTCGCCTCATGCTGCGGAACCCCACCGCCTCCCAGAGGGGGTTTGCATTGGTGCACGCACAAACGACACATGCGGACGAGGCCGCAGCCAAGTGTTGTAGGTTTGCAAAGCTGCCAGCGTGCCGTCCTTTCCACGGATGCGCCTCAGCTGAAGCCATTCGAAAATCCAGGTAACCCCCGGCATGCCTGGCACGGCTGCAGCCTGCACGGTTTGCCAGCACTCGGGTCTTAGCAGGACAGCGCATCCGCCTTGCGTCCCCTCTCCTTTCCCGTTCCCTGGGCATGCGGAGCGTGTGGCCTGTGCTGCTAGCCCACGCGGAACCTGTGACTCGAACCCCTGCCTCTCTGATTGCCTGATTGGCGTAACCCCAGGTGACCCGACATCTGAAAGCGAGGCGCTTGAAGATCAACACCGCAATTGTTGTGCCGTCACAAAAGCATCCATCTGCGGGGCTGCCCGTTTTGTGGGCACACCCCGGCCGCCGACCTTGGGGCCGTGGCAGGCACAGTGGGGGCCCGCCCCTGCACCATTGCCTTGTACTGTACGCCCTTCGGGGGATGATGGCCTTCGTCGCTGAGCGACCGACAGTGTGGGCAGGACAGCCCGCCGTGCAACAGAAGAAAAATTCGTGGCGTGGCTGGATTGAGAGCCAGCAGCTCGCTGAGGAGCAGGCGCAGACGTGCTGCGCCGAGCTGGCCTCGCTACGCCTCTTGCGCACCAGTGGCGGCGGCGGCCTCGCTCATGTGGTGGCGGCAGCTGGTGCTCGGTGTACCCGAGATCACATGCATTCAAAGATGGGAGCCGGCGGCGGCACCGCGCGCACGTAACCATTCTTGCGCGCCATGCACCGCCTCCTGCCTGCACGTGCAGCAACCACACGTCAAGAGATGAAAAGGCAGATAAACCATCCTAGCCACCAGCGAGCTCCAACCTGCACCAGGCAGCAGGAGGGCACCAGACCGACAGCAGGAGGGCAGGCGGCCTCCTGATCCGATTCAGGGCTACGCCCTCTCCCCTCGACCACCGCTGGTGCTGGCGCCGCTGCCGTCGCTGCTGCCTCTGCCGCTGTTGCTGTGCAGTCAGCGCCGCTGCCCCAAGCGCCGCCCTGCATGTCAGCGCCTGGTCCGCTGACGTTCCGGCCGGCCTGGCTGGCGCCGTGGACGGGGGGACCGACCTGCGCTGCTGCTCCTCGCGCGGCTTGGCTTTGCCAACCGCGCGCTCAGCCTGCTGCCGCACCTTGGCCTGCAGGCCGGCCAGCTGCTTACGCAGCTCGGCCATCAGCTATTGCTGCATGCGGCACCTCCCGCAAGATGCAGTAAATGCACACGCCGCCGCCGTCGCCATAGCAAACCCCATGCGAGACACATCTCCTGCCGCGCGGGGGTGACATTACTTTGTGAGGCGCACAGCAGCATCGGTGTAAAAGTGTAGCAGCGGCCAGAGACTCTCCACCGCATCTTCCCCCTTTCAGCACCCGCCCTGCAGGCCGCTCAAGTGGGGTAAATTGATGCGCATAGGCGTTTTATGTTAAAGTGGATGAAGGCTCACAGCTGTTTGTGTGTGGCTCAGGGCAGGCAGCTATAAGTTTTAGTCAATCTTCCATCATCATCATCATCAGCAGCAGCGGCGGCGGCAGCTGCAGCAGCAGCAGCAGCAGCAGCAGCAGCAGCAGCAGCAGCAGCAGCAGCAGCAGCAGCAGCAGCAGCAGCAGCAGCAGCTGCGGACTCAGCAAGGGGCACATCGGATGTGCCCCTTGAGAGGTGCTGAAGCTCGCGCCCGTCTGTGAATGAAAGTTCAAGGATTTTCCTGATTTTAGAGTCTTTCGGGTGTTTGGGCGCGGCCGGCCATGTTTCAAAGCTTCAACAATCTGCCATATGATTTTAGTGTTTGCACGCCGTCATATGCGCGTACGCCTGTATGTGCTCGCGTGCAGCCCAGTCCTGCGCGCTGTTGCCATGCGCTTGCTGCCTCGCCGATGCTGCTTAACAGCACCCTCATGCTCAACAGCACCAATGCACTGGACGCACGGCCTCGTCAACTGGACCGCGCAGGGCAGAAGCACGCCGCGGCCAACGCTGTGCACCCCTCCCCCAAACCTGTGCTGCAAGCTGCGAGTGGCGGCGCGCAGCTGCCGTAGCGCGAGGGCGCTGGCTGGCCAATTGTTTGCAGACGCGCCCGCATTTCAGGTTGTGCAGAGACAGCCTTAATTGCGTGCTTGACCCAAGCCTTCAATATATATGACCGAAGTCGCATGCATGCAGTGAGGCGCACGCTGTTCCCATGTGGTGCGTGCCTGGAGGAGCTCACCCCCGTAGACACCCTCACGGCAAACGTTGCATGCGGCTGTGTGCCCAAAGCATGTGGGGTATCCCTGCAAAGCAGTAGCTTTGCCTGTTTCTGTTGTAGAGGCGGCACCAGTGAGGTGCAGGAGGTCAACACACAAGTGAGGCACGTGCACGCCTGCTTTGAACGGCGAGCGGTGGCCGCTAAAATCCCACTAGTCATACAGTGTTAGGGCAGCCTAAGGGCGTCACTTCAGGGTCCGTAAACGCCCAGCGTGGGGTCCCCAGTTTCACCACACCAGTGGGGCAGCCGGGGAATGGGCGGGTGCCCTGACCCCGGTGCCGGTCCTGAAAGCATACAGTACTGGGTGCCCGGCGCCCGGTCCACTCTACTCAACGTTGATGGTGCAAAGTCACACCCCATGAGGCTGGATGGCTCCAGGAGCGGGTGACCGCGGGGATCTTGTATAACAACATACCTAATCTTACGGCAACATGATCAATTAGCAAACCTGACGTACACACCGCAGTGCTGATTCTGCAGGGACCCAACGACCACGGCACGGGGCTGTGGATTACCGTATCAAATTCAATATCAAAGTTATCCACCAACGGTTTGTGCCACTACAATAAAGGTGCACGTGTCCCCTGGTCAGCGCCAGTTCCAACGTCCGCTCGAAGCTCCCCGGAGCGCCTCAACGATGGATTACCGTATGTTTAGTGTGTCATTACCTGGGGGGCAACTCCGTGTAGGCGGCCTGCAGGGCGGGTGCTAGGAGGGGAAGAACGCTGCGGCAAGTCTCTCGCCGCAGCCGCTGCTATGGGCGCCCTTCGTTATACCAATGCTGTTGCACGCCTCGCGAACTGATGCCGCCCCCGCGCGGCAGAGAATGTGTCTGGCATGTGGTTTTCCGTGGCTATTGCGGCGTACGCACGCATCTTTTGGTGGGCGATACGCCACCTGCAGCAGCAGCTGCTGGCTGAGCTGAAGGCCGAGCTGCGGGTCCATGCAGTCCAGCTGCAGCACCAGCACGTTCGATTTCTGGCGGAGCCGCGGCAGCAGCAGGCCGACCTGCAGGCCGAGCTGCGGCAGCAGTATGCCGACCTGCGGGCGGAGCTGCGGCAGCTGGCTGGGCGGCTGGAAAAGATGGAGCAGCAACTAAGGTCGGTCCCCTTCATAGGCCCGGCCAGGCCAGCCGGAACGTCAGTGGCGGAAGCAGGGGCTGACACGCGAGGCGGCGCTGACAGCAACAGTGGCCGGCAGCGGCAACGGCAGCGGCGCCGGCATCAGCGGTGGTCATTGGGAGACGGCGTAGGCCTGGATCGGAGCAAGAGGCCGCCTGCCCTCTTGCTGCCAGGTTGTAGCTGGTTTCTCTACCTTTTCATCTCTTGACTTGTGATTGCTGCGCGTGCGCGCAGGAGGCGGCACCCGGCGCGCAAGAAGGGCTACGTGCGCGCGGTGCTCGCTGGCGCCCATACCTGAATGTGTCTGATCTCGGGTACACCAAGCACCAGCTGCCGCCACCACGTGAGCGAGGCCGCCTTCACCACTCGTGCGCAAGGGGCGCAGCGAGGCGCCAGCTCGTTGCCGCTCGTCTGCGCCTGCAGCTGCTGGCCCTCAATCCAGTCGCCACGAATGCTTTTTGTTTTTGCGGGTTTGGCTGTTTTGCCCACACTGTCACTCAGCGAAGAAGGCCGTCATCCCTCCTACACTGGCGCTGAGCCCCGCCATGTGTGGCACCAGTCTGATACAACAGAGCACTAAGCTGCATTCGCTTAGCGGCATGCTTGTATCAGCTGTGCTGCACGCCTCTCACCCACCAATTGCTTGGTACAAGAACCTTTTGGGATTATGCTTCACACCAAAGCCTGGTATAGGCGCATCTTCAACAACCTTGCTTGAGAAAAGGTTCCCCACAATACTGATTGGTTGCCTGCTGTCTGCTTGGCAAGCTTGCTGAGTTTCCTTGGTCAACCAACGTGGAGTCTTTTGTCGTGTCGATCGCGCACCGACACGGGGCACACGCGTGGGTGTGCCTGCTGTGCCCCCCCCGTCTGCTCACCCTGCGGGCAGCCGACCAAAACAACGGCCCTGCCATTCTGGCAGCTGGATGGCATTTCATACATGGCTCTTGCCTCGTCGCCACCTCTGCCTCATCGCCACCCCTGCCTCGGGCCTGCTCCCTTTCTCCCCCTGCCCGAGTGGCCGCCATGCCAAACCAGTTGCAACCTCCTTCTTGCTCAAACAAGTTGCGCTGTCATATGGAGAGGTGCTGACCTGCACCTTGTGTGCACATGACTTGCACAGCTTGGCAGCGAGGCGCCGTGCCGACAGGTTGTGAGCGAAGGGGCTTTGGTGAGCGGGAACACTGATGCAGGTGTGGTCACATATCCTTGCGTGGTTTCGGCAGCGCCCAACGGCAGATTCGCGATCAGTGCGGAGCTGCGGGGGCCTCTGCTGGTACCGTATCGCAACAATTGCCGCTGCTGGCACTGCAGATCGCCACTCATACTGACCTCTTGCCAAACGCCCGATGTGCGGGCCGCCCAAGCATAGAGTCTGGACAAGATACTGGTCAGCTTGTGCTGCATACGCGAACGCAATGAGGAGGTCTTGCAGGGGCCCGTGAGGCAGTCCAGGCCTACTACTCTGGGGAAGCCTGGTGGTGTCGCGCAGAGTCGCCACCCTGATGAGCGCGCGCGGTGCATCGCGCTGCGTGTATACCTCCCGACAACAAGTACTATCTTGCATGTCATTTGTGGTCATTACCGTACAGGCTTGAGAGGGGACATCTCTGCTCGACGCCGGCCGTTGCGTGGAAGCGCACCGATCATTCTTTGGAGTACAAGTTTTGATTCTGAAATTTCCAATAGACCTTGCGCCCTTGTAGGGGAGGTGGTCACTCACGCGGGCCTGCCCCGGCTCGCCTCGACCTAGGTCGAACTAGGCTCCCTTTTCAGCATCAATCAGACCCGCAAAATCAAAAGCAGCAGGATGGCAAGCGAGGACGCGCCTGCGCCCCCCGCCGAGCGCGCGCCGCCGCCCTCACCGCCGCCGCTCTCCCTGGACGAGTGCCGCGAGGCGTTTTACGTCGCCCAGCGCGCGACAGAGCGCTACGCCGCGCAGCTCAAGGCGTTCGTGGACGTGATCGACAGCAAGAAGGCGCAGGCGGGGGAGGCGTGGATCGAGGCCGTGCAGGACGAGGCGCGGAAGGCGACCTTCTTCCACACCAACCAGGTGCGTTGCATGCGCCGGCCGCCGCCGATCGAGCAGCTGCTTTTGGGCCATGATCGTTCAACTTGCAAATCTGGCTCGTTTGCATGGGCGCGACTGCATCATGCACGGCGCATGCGCGGCGCGCAGCTTGCGCATGGCCCATTTACGGACCTGGGGCCAGGTGGCATGTGCCCATGTGCGTCGCAGGGGACGCCCGATCCATCTTATGCACCCCCTCCACTCCGTCACGCCGCCTCCAAACGACAGCTGGCAGAATGGGAAGATTTTGCGGAGCGCGCCGATTCATACGTCGACTCTGTGCGGCGGCTCGCTGAGCGGCTGGCGATCGCAGGTGAGCGCGGGGTGCGGCTCCTGCCGGCTGGAAGTGTGTCCTTCTACCCTATACCCAAGCTGAGAGCGCTACAGGGGCTATGGAAAGGGCTGAGGGGGGCCAGCGGCACTGCAGCACCGCACGCAGGGACAGCAGGGTGGAAGGGGGGGGTTGCGAGGCTCCACCGCCGCCGCAGAGGTGCTGTCCAGTGCAGCGCAGTGGGACGCTCGACCCGTGTGTTTGTGTGTGTGTGTGTGGGGGGGGAGGTGTTGGCGCACTGGGGGAAGGCGGCGGGGTAGTGTGCAGGCTTGATGCTGGCGGCAGCGGGCCTTGCATTATAGTGAGGGCCAAGCGTTTGTCGCGCCGCCGCTGCCACCACCGCCGCGAAAGCCCTCAAGGGCCGTGCACACACCGAAGACCAGCCAGGCCGCCGCATGGGCGCCAGCCCGCGTGGGCCCCGCCTGTTGCCACGGGCGGCTGGTTTCTCCTCCCCATGCTCCCTCCACCCCTCGGCTCACCGCTGCTCGCACCCGCTCGCGCCCGCCCCACCTGCCCGCCGCATCAGAGCTGAAGGGCGAGACTTTGGAGGAGGTGCGAGGGGGCGGCTGGAGCGTGCGAGGGCCCAGGCGTGGGCCGTGGCTGTGTGCGGCTGGGTGTGCAAGCACGCGCGGGACATGCAGCAGCGGACGCACGCCCCTTTGCGCCCAGCCCAGGCTGCAGCGCCCCAGCGATGAAAGGGCGCGCGGCGCCGCCGCACAACGGCGCAGCGGTGCCCAGCTGCCGCAGCGCGGCCGCCGCCCGCCGCCCGCGCGGCCGATGCGAGGGTGTGGCTGTCAACCGCAGACAGCCAACCGCCAACCACCCCGACCGCCAAACGCCAACCACCCCGACCGCCAACTGCCAACCGCCTTCAGGCGGACCTTCCAGAGAACAAGGCGCGGACGGTGCACCCAGAGCTCCTCAAATTCAAATTGGAGAAGCGGTCCAGGTGCGTGCGGGGGCGGCGCTGCTTGGCGCAGAGCGGCGGCTCGGCGCAGGCGCGTGTCGTGGTGGACGGGTTGTGGGGCCCCGTCCGCCTGCCTGTTGGTTTTCGGGCGCGTCCCGTAACGCGCGCCACGGCGGCCGCGCCACGCCTGGGCCCTTTGGGGCACACTGGCAAGCCTTGCAAGCGGCCCCGGCCGCCTTGCTCTTCGCTTGGAGGTTTGCAAGGCGCGGAGGCACATCTCTCCCAGCGACGGCGCGCAGCAGTAACATGGGGCGCCTTCGACACCTGATTTACAATTGGATTCCTTCAATAGAACTTGATTGAATTCGAATCAAAACTGCATAAAACCGCTCGAAACCACTCCCCTCTTGTACAGGATCTTGGGCAAGATTGGCGGCGTGCCCGCGCTGGGCCCGGGCACCGTGATCCCCAAGCTGCCCACCGGCGGCCCTGGCCTGCGCGCGACCGCCAGCAGCGCGGCGCGCGAGATCAACTACTCCAAAGTGGAGGGCAAGGACGCGCGGTGGGCGGGCGCCGCCTGCGCGTGCCCGGGCCGGCGGTTGGGGGTCACCGGCTTGCTGTTTCAGGGGCAAGCGGGCGCATTCGCCAAAGGACAGCAACGCGGACGGGCCTCTGATGACGGTCGGGTCCGTCGCATCCAGTGTGTGCTGAGGGGCATGTCATCCACTCTTCTGGCCACCTGCAGCTGCCGCTGTGCAGCGTCATGCCCTCAACTTCCTTTCGCACACCTCTCCAAGCCCCCGTCCGGGTACCACTCTTTTCTGAAACATCCCTTTTCTGAAACCTCCGACCGGCAGTTACCTCGCGGATGTCTTCCAGTTCAAGACCGGCGGCAAGAAGAAGGACGACGGGGAGCCGACAGAGTGGCAGCAGGAGGCGTCCACCATCCTCAAGCGCAAGTGAGCGGCGCTGCGCACCTGTGCTGGGGCTTGGCGGGGCCGCTGAGGTGGCGGAAGTGACCACTGCGTTCGCGTCGGCGGGCAGCTGCAGAGCAGTTGCCTTCTTGTGTGGTGCAGGAGGCAGCAGCCGCCCGCCTGGGCCGCTAGCTTTCCATGCCTGCGCCCGCACCCATATGATCAGGCTTGTCTGTTCCCTGTCCACACGTGACGTAACATGACATCACTGGCAGTGTGTCAACTTCCGGAACGCATCATGCGTCTGTCGCTCGATTGCGCAACACTGGAGTCTATCATCACTTCCCCCTTCAAGATCGCCCCGCTGCGCTCTAGATGCACTGGACCTTTTCGATGGCCATGTGCCTCTTCCACTTCCCGTCCCCCAGGGCCCAGGTCGAGAAGTCTGAGGAGGCGCTCAGGGCGGAGCTAAAGTCGCCCTTTGGGGAGGAGCTCACGGTGGGCAGGGGTGGCCCGGGGCGGCCCGGGGGAGCACCGGGGTGGCAAGACAGGCAGGGTTGACGGGGGTGGACCAGGGTGGTAGGGGATGGCGAGATTGGCAGGGTTCACGGGGTCTGGCCAAGGTGGCAGGAATGGCAGTGGTGGCCTAGGGTGCCCAGTGTGGCCGGGGTGGTGGGGGCGGCCCAGGGTGGCGGGGATGGCGGTCGCCTGCGAATGGGTTCCGATGTTCTGGATTGGCAGGCTGAGGCCGCCCTCATGAATTTTCGGCGCGTCTTCTCATCGCACCCCCCGCACTCCCCGTTTGAATTTCGAATCTGATTTTCGGAATCGCAGGGTGTCCTGCAGCAGCGCCACACCACCCTCAAAGCAAAGGAGGACGAGGCGGCCGCCGTCGCCGCCAGCGCCTACCGCCGCAGCAGCGCACGCGACGAGGCGCCGCCCGATGCGACGCCGGAGTTGGCTGCCAAGCTCAAGCGGCGGCAGCAGGAGGAGGAGCGGGCGATCAAGGAAGCTGCCAGGAAGGCACGGGAGGACGCGGAAGCGGCGGAGGTGAGGCGGCCGGGGGTGAGGCGGCCGGGGGGCTGGCTGCGTGGGCTGCATCTCCAGCTGCCAGCATCGTATGTGTGTGCTCAATTTGAGGCGGGATTCAAACCCCGAGTGCCAGCAGGGTCGTCCGGGACAAATGGCAGTCGCGGTGGGGTGGGCCGCCCACTCAAGGCCTGCTTGGCCGGTCCTCGCAAAACCGCGCTGCCCTGCCCAAAAGCACGCGGCAGCTCGCCAGCCCCCGCTGGGCGCGCGCGCGCGCGCGCTCGTGCCTTCAAATTGCATCCATGACAACCCCACAGCACCCCCAGCTGTCCCGCCCGGCCTCTGAGCACCCCTCCGGACACCCACCTAACAGAACAACACGCATCGCCTGCCTGCCGGCCGCCACCTCGCTCTGCAGAAGGGCGTGCCGACGCCCGCGTGGCAATCCACCGCGCCCTTCGGCAGCGAGCTCGCCTCAGCCCTGCAGAAGCGGTGCGCCCCACGGCCCTTGCGCCCCCGGCCGTCCCGCAACGGGCGCTTCTGCTTGCGGTTGCCGGCTGCGGCCTTGCACCCTGCCCTCCGCGTGCCCCCTGCCTCAGGCGGCGCGGCAGGGTGGCCTGACGCCGGCTGCACTTGACCTGTGGCAGGGGAACAGGGCGCTCACCGCTGCCAAGCACAAACCAAGTTCATTCCATCTTCGGCCGCCTTCAACCACCCCCAAACAGCCTCCAGCCTTCCCCCAGCCGCCCCCCTGGCAGCCCTCAGACCCAACCGCCCGTGACCGCCCTGCGCGGCTCAGACCCTCAACCGCCCCCAACCACCCAACAACCGCCCCCGACCGCCCGAGCAGAAACCAGGCTAAGGCTGACGCCATCAGGAACGCCGTGGCCAAGGAGGAGGGCCGCGCCTCTGGCAGCGCCGGCGTGCCCGACGCGGAGAGCGAGTGGGCGCGGCGGCTGCGCAGGATCCAGGGCGGGCGGAACGACGAGTGAGGGGGCCTCTTTTTCTTCTTGACGCTCGAAGGGCCTGGGTTCCAATCGATTGGAGATGTGGGCCTCTCCCGTCCACGCGCTGCGCCTTGGAAGTCGGGGGCGTGCTCAGGCAGGGCGAGCGGGCGCGAGGCGGCCTGGGCTCAGGCTCCCCAGCCGGGGAGGCCCGCCGCAGCCCCTGCGGCCGCGCCGCCGGGCCGGCCGCCTGGCGCTTCGGCGGGCCCCCTTGCGGCGGTGTTCAGCGTGCGATTGTTTCGTCCGCACTGCATAATCCCGGTGCTCTCTACCAGGCACCAACTGCGTATACGGCGCACCCCGTCTGTCACAACATGGGGCTCTCCGCAGCGCTTGCGCGGCCCGCCCCACCTCCCCCTGCGACGCCGCCCCGTCAGCAAAAGAAACCCCGCCCGCACCACCCTCTGTCAGTCTTGAGCATTCCTTTTTTTCCAGCTGCACCGGTCGTCGGCCTGCGCGGCGCCTCTTTGCGCCTCTTGCCTGCCGCAATCCACACCACCCAGCGGCGACCGCGGGCCTGTCCACCTTCGGCCCTGAAACAACACCACCACGCTGCAAACGAGGTTCGAAACAGTCACCGGCGCCTCGACGTGCGCCCCTCCAATGTTGGCACCTTGAAGCCGCGGAGCTGTGTAAACTGCGGCAGAGCGTCCCTTGGCACCAGCCTGAGGGTGTCGCCTTTCGCACTGTTGGTTACTCGCCATCACAAGTTGGCGCGCGCGCGCGGCCGGAATGCAAAGCTCGGCCCAAGATCGGAAGCGAGCCGGAAAACGGCACGCCTCCCCGGCAGCCGCCGCTGGCGCTCAACCTGGGACGTCAGACGCATGCATGCCGGATGAATTATGTGAGGGTGGAGCAGCTGGGGGCTCGGGCCAACGGGCGGAATGCACACAGGGTCAAGGGGGCTGCCAATGTTGGCGGTCAGCTGTGGGGCATGGGGGCTTCCAATGTTGGCGAGCAAGAGCCGGCCTGCGGGGCCCGCGTTTATACAGCGCCCGCGGCAGCGCAGGGTGACGCTGTCAGGGGCCGGCCGGCCGCACGGCAAGCGCTCGCGGGGGTGGCGGTGGCAGCAGCCCAGCCGGACCTGGCGGGGGCCGCGGCCACTATAGTCTATCTTTTGTGCTCTCCAGTGCCCCCAAGCTTGAGGACCTCCGAGTGGCCACGAGGCCCGCCTAGGGCCGGTCCGAGTCTGCCTGTCAAGACCGGCGCCAGGGCCCGCAGCGTCTGACGGTCTAGGCCGGCGCCACGTCCTTTGTGTTGGCGCGCCGGTCTAGGCCCGCGCGAGGGCCTTCTGCGTCTGCGCCCCGACGTGCAGCAGCTGCAAAAACTCGTCCGCGCCGTCCTGCAGGCACTTGTCAGCCTCTGCCAGCAGCTCGCAGATCTGGGGTGGGAGGGTTTGGGCGGCGGAGGAGTGCGTGGGAGATCAGATTGCGCGTGATGTGTGGGCATCATAGAGTGATCTGAGTGTGTGTGTGTGTGTGTGTGTGTGTGTGTGTGTGTGTGTGGGTGTTTATGTACGGCAAAGGGGTATGTCGGATCAGTTTGTGCATGTATGCGTAGCAGGGTGTGCTTGTGATCTGAGTGTGCGGGATTTGCGCGGCAGAGCGGCGGTGCGCATTGACGCGTTAGCATGCGCGTGTATGTGCGGCCCGAGTGTGCAACTTTTGTTTGTGCGCATTGAGGGCGGCACAGGGTGCCCCGCGGGTTGAGGGGCCATGAGAAGGGGGCAAGAGGGGCGCCAACTGCGGGGGCGAATGCGGCGCCTGCCCGTGTTGCAAAAGCTAAAAACAACAGTGATGGTGATCACTGAGATGGGGGTTTAGTGCGTGCCCAAACAGCGTCCAGCAAACGCCGGCATGCAAAAACTGACTCCAAGGGCGTGCAACGCGTTGCGTGCGTGTTTGGTTGTCTCCTGACTGTACCCCAAGCATCCGAGCCGCCTAGGCCCACCTGCGAGCGCGGCTTTGCCGGGATCGCGCTGTCCGAGGCGTCGGGGTCCGAGGGGGCCGCCAGAACCTCGGACTGCAGCTGCAGCAGCACCTGCTGCGCGGGGTAGCCCTCCGCAATGAGGTCAGTGATCTGTCGTGGGGCCGAGGTTGCGGGCGCGGGGGAGGGTGGGCGTGCGTGGGCCAGGGGCGCAAGGGACGTTGGGGCAGCCACTGGAGAGGTCGGGGGGCCGCAAGGTTTGCCTCGGCGCACTGAGGCCGCCGCAAGCAGGCGGCGGAAGCAGGCTTTGCTGGGCTATGATGCGTCCAATGATTCGGTTGTGTAGCTACATGTTGGGCCGGTGTGCAAACACACGCCGCTACGTTTTGGCATTGCGCCTCCCCTGGAGCTCGGATGCGAATACACACAAAAAATTCACCTCAGACACGTTCGGCCGCGCTGGAGCTGGCACCAAAAAAAGCCCTCAGCCCGCCCACCTGCTGCTGCACCCGGTCAAAGACGCCCGACCGGCAGGCGTCCAGCAGCTGCCGGATAGCTTCCTGCGGCAGCTCCCCAGACACGTCCAGGATAGACTGCCTGCCGGTGGGCGGCCAGGGG